CCATGTTTATAGCAGCACTATCGGCAGTAGCCAAAGTATGGAAAGAGCCCAAATGCCCATCGATGGATGAATGGAGAAAGAAGATGTGATGTATATCTATACAATGGAGTATTACTCGGGAATCAAAAAGAATGAAATCTTGCCATTTGCAACTACGTGGATGGAACTGGAGGGTATTATGCTAAATGAAATCAGTCAGTCAGAGAAAGACAAATATCATATGACTTCACCCATATGAGGACTTTAAGATACAAAACAGATGAACATAAGGGAAGGGAAGCAAAAATAATATAAAAACAGGGAGGGGGACAAAACGTAAGAGACTCTTAAATACGGAGAACAAACAGAGGGTTATTGGAGGGATTGTGGGAGGGGGGATGGGCTAAATGGGTAAGGGGCATTAAGGAATCTACTCCTGAAATCATTGTTGCACTATATGCTAACTAACTTGGATATAAATTAAAAACATAAATTAAAAAAAAATAGTAAAAACTACTGAAAAATTTAAATGCTCAAAATCTCTTTTTAGTTTACTATTGTTAGAAATAATTGGAACAAATATACACTTGAATTAAAAGAAAAAAAATAAATAAAAAGGGAAAAAGAACTAATATATGGTACAAGGCAGGTATACCTTTAACACATGTGAAAATAACCAGTTACAAAAGACCATATACTTCATGATTCTATGTATATGAAATTTCCAGTAAAGACAAATACAAAGAAACAGAAAGTAGGTGAATATTTGTAAAGGATGGTGGAAGGGGGAAATGGAAAGTTTCTTTAATGGATTAGAGTTTCTTTAACGTTTCTTTCTTGGAGTGAGGAAAGTGTTATAAAATTAGATAGTGATGATGGAGATACAACTCTGTGAATATAGTAAAGATGACTAAAATGTGCATTTTAAAATGGTGAACTCTAGGATAGGTGAACTGTATCTCAGCAAAACTGTTAAAAAATAAAAATAAAAATAAAAATAGTCAGTTTGAAAGACATTTGCAGAAAGCAGTGGGATTCTGAAATAGTCTAAATTAGATTTTTCCTAAAGAGAAAGGGAAGAGAAGAATCACAGATGCTTTGAGGAATTGTTCAAATCTGTTAAGGGTTCCACGCTTCACTTTACACACAAAGAGGGCATTATACACTTTTATGTTAATAGAGAGAAAATTATAGAGCTATTATTCCTGAAAGAACCAGCAACCCAATTTCCTGTCTCTACAGGTGGAGGGTTGTTATAAACCCACATATTTGGGAAAATTCTTTACAGATAAAAAGTATTTACGTTACTCCACCAGTGCAGGTGCAGATGTCTGGATAATCTAGAACTTACTTTTCAATCTCCTGCTCTCTGAAGGCCCATTCCTTCCTCTCCATCGCATTCATCATCCTCCTTCTCTTCTCAAACTGGGAGGTGTCACTCAGACAGGGAAGAGTGGCTTCCCAAGCACGCTTCTCCCGGGCACGTTCTATCATCTCAACTTCAGCTTGTCCTGCTGGGAGCCCTCGACCTGGATGGTAAAGCAAAGCAAGTTAGAAACACATGGACAAACTCATGTATCTTCCAGTATTTAATTTACTCCCTTTCAGTTCCTATCCTTTTTAAATTCAAGGGTTAAGACAGGATGAAATGATATTGGGAAACATCCTCACACTGTGCTTCACAGCTTGTTATCTATCCCCTGTACTGCCTCTTGTTAGTTACTCAGCCAGAAGACATTTTAGTTACACATAACATGCTAGAGAGTATTTGAAGAATATTCTGTGACTACTGAACAATCATACCTTGGAATGCCCTATATTAGACAAATCAATGTTTTGAAATGCAAAGAAATATCAAAGTAACTTACAGCTGGTAAGTGGCAGAAATCAGGATTTGAACATAGCAATCTGACCCTTGTGGTCTTATGTACTACTCTATACTTCCTCTCTATTAGAGAAATAAAACAAAAATGAATTGTACAGACAAGTCGACAGTTAATCACACTCAACAGTGAGGTTGAAAGCTTTTCCTCCAAGATCAGGAACAAAACAAGAGCCTACTTTTATCACTCCTATTCAACATAGTACCGGAAGTCCCACCCAGAGTAATCAGGCAAAAAAGAAATAAAAGCCAACCAAATCAAAAAGGAAGTAGTAAAATGGTCTCTATTTGCAGATAACATAATCTTAGATATAGAAAACTATAAAGACTATCAAAAATGGTTAGACTGACATACGAATTCTGTAAAGTTGCAGAATACAATATCAACATACAAAAATCAGTTGTATTTTAAATACTAACAATGAACTACCTGAAAAAGAAATAAAGAACATAATCCCATTTACAAAAATAACAGGAATAAATTTAGCCAAGGAGGTAAAAGATCTATATGCTAAGAACTATAAAACACTAATGAAAGAAATTGAAGATGACAAAAATAAATGGAAAAATATCCCATGTTCATGGATTGGAAGAATTAATATTGTTAAAATAGTCATACTATGCAAGGACATGCAAAGATTTGATATAATCCCTAATAAGGATCCCAATGACATTTTTCACAGAAATAGAAAAACAATCCTAAAATTCCTATGGAACCATAAAAGAACCCAAAGAGCCAAAGCAACCTTGAGAAAGAAAAAGGTGAAGGCATACTTTCTGGTTTCAAACTATATTACAAGACTACAGTAATCAAAACAGTATAGTACTAGCATAAAAATAAACACATAGACACAAAAAGAATCAAGAGCCCAGAAATCATAGTCTACTAATATTTGACAAGGAGGCCAAGAATACTCACTGGGGGAAAGATACCCTCTTCAATAAATGGTAATGGAAAAATAGGATATTCACATGCAAAAGAGTGAAACTGAACCCCTATCTTACACTAATCACAAAAATTAACTTGAAATGGATTAAAGACTTAAATGTAAAGCTCCTAGAAGAAAACATAGGAAGGAATCTTCTTGATGTTAGTCTTGGCAATGATTTTTTGGATATGACACCAAAAGTACAAGCAACAAAAAAAAAAAATAAATAAATGGGACTACATCAAACTAAAAGGCTTCTACACAGCAAAAGAAATGAGCAACAAAAGGAAAAGGCAAACTATGGAATGGGAGAAAATATTTTCAAACCATATATCTGATAAGGAGTTAATATCCTAAATACATTAGGAACTCCTACAAATCAATAGCAAAGAACAAAATAATGCAACTAAAAAATGGACAAATGACATGAATAGCCATTTTTCCAAAGAAGATATAAAAAAGGCCAGTAGGTACATGAAAGGTGCCCAACATCACTAATCATCAGGGAATTACAAAAGAAAAATATGAGATATCCTTTCACATCTGTTAGGATGGCTGTTTTCAAAAAGACAAGAGGTAACAAATGCTGACAAGGATGTGGAGAAAAGGGAACGCTAGCACACTATTGGCAGGAATGTAATTGATACAGCCGCTATGAAAAACAGTATGGAGGTTCCTGAAAAAGCTAGAAATATAGGTGCCATATGATTCACTTCTGAGTATACATCTGAAGGAAATGAAATTACTATCTCAAAGAGATATCTGCACTTCCGTGTTCACTGCAGCATTTACAGATGCCAAGACATGGAAACAACTTAAGTGTCCATTAACACATGAATGTTATAAAAAATGATATATGTATAATTCCTATATAACATATTAAATATAATAAACATATATTGAATAAAATTAATATGTGATCAATTTTATATGTAATATAAAATATATAAAACTCAGCCATAAAAAAGGAAATCCTGCCATTTGCAACAACATGAATGATAATTTGAGGGCATTATGCTAAGTAAAATAAGTTAGACAGAAAAACACAAATACTGTATGATCTCACTTATATCTGGAATCTAACAAAACTGAAATTCCTAGAAACAGAGCATAGACTGATGGTTTCCAGGGGTAAGAGGCATGGGAGAAATGGGTGAAAATGGTCAAAGGGTACAAGCTTTCAGTTATTTGATGAATAAGTTCTGGAGATCTAATGTACAGCATGGTGACTATAGTTAACAATAATGTATTATATACTTGAAAGCTGCCAAGAGAGTAGATCTTAAATGTTTTACACACACTAAAAAAACAATGGTACTATGTGAGGTAATAGGTGTGCTAACCAATCTTATTGTGGTAATCATTTTGCAAAAAATATGTATATAAAGTCATGTGGTGTGTCCTAAACTTGCACAGTATGTCAATTATATCTCAGGAAAGCTGGGGGGAAAATGAATTATACATAAGTAACAATATGATAATCTTTTATTTTTATTTTTTAATTTTTTTTAACATTTATTTATTTTTGAGACAGAGAGAGACAGAACATGAACGGGGGAGGGCCAGAGAGAGAGAGGGAGACACAGAATCTGAAACAGGCTCCAGGCTCTGAGCTGTCAGCACAGAGCCCGACGCGGGGCTCGAACTCACGCACTGCAAGATCATGACCTGAGCCGAAGTCGGACGCTCAACCGACTGAGCCACCCAGGCGCCCCCTTTTTTTTTTAATTTTTTTTAACATTTATTTATTTTTGAGACAGAGAGAGACAGAACATGAACGGGGGAGGGCCAGAGAGAGAGAGGGAGACACGATAATCTTTTATTTAATATTTACATCCATGATATTTTACTGTATCATTCTGCAACTTGTTTTTTTTTTTTTTTTAATTTTTTTTTTCAACGTTTATTTATTTTTGGGATAGAGAGAGACAGAGCATGAACGGGGGAGGGGCAGAGAGAGAGGGAGACACAGAATGGGAAACAGGCTCCAGGCTCTGAGCCATCAGCCCAGAGCCTGACGCGGGGCTCGAACTCACGGACTGGGAGATCGTGACCTGGCTGAAGTCGGACGCTTAACCGACTGCGCCACCCAGGCGCCCCATCTGCAACTTGCTTTTTTACTCAACTTTGTTTTGGGGATGCTAGTCATACACAGAGATCTAACTGCATTCTTCCACTGTGGGACTCTACCACAATTTAAGCTATCTTCTCAAAAGTGATGTTTTAAGTTGCTTCTAATTTTTTGATTACACATAGTAACGCTGCAACAAACATCCTTGTACTGGTCTCATTATGCCCATATGCAAATTTCTCTATGATTCTTAGAAAGGATCTAAAGTCTAGCAGCTAGATCATAAAATATCATTTAAAATTTTTCTGAATATTGCCAAATTTGCCTTCCAGAAGTATAATTTTGCTCAAGCCTTCTGAGAGTCCCCTGGTGCTCTCCCACAGCCCATGCTTCCTTCCTTCCTCCCACATTGTTTCTGCCGAATCTCAGTTGCTTTTTGTAGTCCTAACAAATACTTAGTAGTAGTTCACAGATTTTTTTTAAGTATCACTGAAAGTGCAATTTGTGGGAGTTGTGTTGTGCTTGTTGCTTTTGTATGATTTCTGGGAAGAAAAGAGGAAAGATGCTGATTTACATAGGCACAGCTATACTGGGATTACAGATTTGGTTTAGAATTGCTTGAAGGTATAAAATGTTTAGGGGAGAAATCCTATCTATTTAAGCATGACTCTCCCCATTTATAAACATGGTATGCCTCTCTTTTTATCAAATCTTTGTTCATGTGCTTAAGGAATAATTTACATTTTTCTCCATAATACTGTGCACATGTTTTTGTTAAATGATATTCCTAGGCACTTTGTTATTGTCAATATTAAGAGTATGATATTTTCAATATTTCTACTTAGATATTGTTCATATATAGGAAAGCTACTGATCTTTGCATGTTGATTCTATATTCAGCTACCTTACTGAAATCAGGTTCTTAGTTCTGGTAATTTGTTACTTCATTTGATTTTCTAAATGAGTACATTGCGCAGATAGTTTTGCTTCTTATTTCTAATCTTCATGCCTCAATTTTTTCCTCTTACTGCAGTGACTCAGTATTTCTCAACTAAAGTGATATTACTGCCTTATTGGGCAAAAAATTATTTCTTATATGGGACTGCCAGATACAGCACAGGATGTTTAGTGTCCATGCCAGCCTACCTCCCAAAACCCATCTCGTGTGCTAAATACCAGGGGCACGTCCTAATCATCATTACATTTAAAAATGCAGAGCAAGAACTTTCAGGGAGATAGCAGAGTAGGAAGATCCTAGGCTCACCTCATCCCACAGATACAACTAAAGACACTCCCATCAGTGTAAATAACCAGAAAAACACTAAAGACTGGCAAAACAGACTCTCCACACATATGTTGAGAAGAGGCCACATCAAGGAGGCTAGGAAGGCAAAGACTTAGTGGAACCAAATAGACCCGAATAACTGTCCACAAAAGGGAAGAATGAGGTGGGTACAGAGATAAATAAGCACCCCAGGCACAGGGGCCATGCACTGGGAAGACAAATCCCCAGAACATTTAGCTTTGAAAGCCAGAGAAGCCCAGCTTTGTGAGTTCTTTTAAAAAAATTTTTTTTTTCAACGTTTATTTATTTTTGGGACAGAGAGAGACAGAGCATGAACGGGGGAGGGGCAGAGAGAGAGGGAG